AGCGCAGACGATCGACGTGTCCAGTGAGTGGAAGATCTTCAACAGTTCCAATGGCAACGCCAAACGGCGGTCGTTGACGCCCAGCGGTTGCATGCGCTTCGGCTTTTTATCCGAAACTTCTTGCTGGAGTTCAGGGGAAAACGTTTTTCTTCTCTTACTATTATGGGTGAGACATTACGTTTTAAGAGAAGATAGAACTACTTCATGACCAGCTCAGGAAGTTCCACATTTACCGGCAGGAGAACAGAGAGGTAGGGCGCTGAAATCGAAAAGACTTGACAGCAGCAAGGTTTGATGATATAGGTACCACCTGCTGTGCTGGCATTTACCCCCGAGTAACTGCCAGCACAGCGACGGATGGGGAGGTTGCCATGCGGCAGGGGCAGGGATCGCCTCGCTACGAATCGCAGAGTCATGTATACTGAATACACACTACTCTTACACGTGCCCGGTAGGCACGTGCACTATAATAATATTTAACAGTTATTATTCGTACCGTACAGTACTGCCCTCGTACACCAGCGCTTTTCACAATCAATAAAGACCACCTGCTGTCTTCTCTCGGTCTAGTGTCTCTCAGGAATTTTTGTACATACTTATTAATCATGAGCAGTACAATGTTATTATACATGGCATATATGCACACAGATTGCACGCCGCCGCCAGACAACTGCCTGGCCCTTGATCCGATGCAGTTCGCAGTCAACCGTGCAATCCTCCTTGGATACGCTATGCACGCGTAAGGCGTTGCTGCAGTGTTGGTTAACAAGCTGGCTGGCTGATAACAAAATATTTCCCACCAGAGTAATTGTCCGTGTAAAAAACGAATTGCAGTGTTCTCATGGCGCGTTATCTTAATTTCTTTATATGAGTCAGTGGAAAGCGGATAACAACAGGCACAGATAATGGTCAGCACTATCTCCATTTGGTTATGGTAAGTGTGTGCATTTTATTCTCTACACTTTCATTTTGTGTTTGCTGTTCTCAAGTCAAGAACTGAGTTTCTCTTCCTTCCGCATCGACTTTGCAAATGTGTAATGTAGTGGTGCTGCGTTATTGATTTTATAACTGCAGATGTTATAAGTTTTCCATCAGTAATATGTCGCACTTAATTATCTCGGTAATTACGGTGTTTGCTGGCTGCTTGACTTTCTTTGCATGCAGCTATGGCCGTCAGTCGCTGCGGTCTGATTCCCATGCTGTGCAATGTCCGCATTTCTGCACCTGCTATCCATCCTTTTGGAAATGCGGCGACAGTAAGGCATCACTGTGGCCGTTGGACAATCAACCGGATGCGATAATTAGAGGAGTTCGCATGCTGGATTTATCCGGATCGGATGTGGATGTACTGCCTAATCAGAGCCCAGCCCATAATTTTCCCGATCTTCAGCTCATCATCCTGGCGCAGACGATTTTCGACGGTCAGCAATGCCGCGAACTGGAATGCTTGGAGAGTTTGGGTATCCGAGTCATTGCTCCTCGTTGCCCTGCAGGTAAGACAGAATTAAAAAAACATTTAAATAACTGTCAAATATTATCGTTGAAATAATTTTCTAAAGTTAAGCATTCGTGCTTTCTCTGAGAATGATATTAAAATATTTCGCAGACAAACGCACCGGATGTGCGTATCCGCCATGCTGCCCGTGGGCTGCAGCAGCACGGACCCGTCCACGTCCACCGCCATCACCTACTACCGACAAGTCTCAATCTCCACTGCTACCATTCATCAACGGAGAAACCTCAACCATTTTCAACCCTTCGCGGGATCGGGAATACAGCACACGGGCTATGGCACCATCAACACTCGGGTCGGATAATATTAGCGGTAAGAATGATGATGGGGAGCGTGTTGCTATTGGTGTGGAGAACACAACTACTTCTACTGTAACAATTTTTCCCGGCACGCTATTATCGCTGCCAGCCGTTTTAACAACATATGAGAGTTCAAGAAAACCGTCTGGTCATGCGACTGCAAGTACGAGTACATTACTTCCGCTGACTACATCAGGTGAATATTACCTGCGCAAAGTGGTAATGGTGGGCGGATTGAGTACTGCCGGCAAAAAAACTGCTACACAGCTACCGCCGACTACGCCAAAGACAACGACAACAACAGCAACAACAACGACGCCGACCGCTGTTGTAACAACGCCCACGCGCGCGCCCGCCCAGCTAGAATTTGATTTGATGTCGATATTAACCACAACCACTGTCATCACTGATAAAGTGTTCGCAACGTCATTCCCTGTCGAATTAGTCATGCATCGTGAGAGTTATTACAAGAACAGGGATCAGAGTAGCGATAAGGTAGCTGTGTCAAACCAGCCCGATATGATGATGACACCTTCCCCATCATCTCAGCCGTCGGTAATTACCGATATTACGGCGCAAGAAGCGGATATCAGCAGCGCGAGAACGAGGACGGCGAACACCATTCGTATCACTAGTGATCCCAGCTCCACGATCAGGTCAACCGCTGCCGTAACGATGCCGGCCGAAGCAGTCTTGTCAAGCATAACTCCACCCACGGTTACAGACGCTGCTGACCCTTCCACCTACGTCCCGAATATTGCGACTTCCTCACAGCCAGTTCTCGCAACACACCCACTTATCAACACAACAGCTGATATGGGTATACTGCCACCGCTGCTGCTGGCTTTGCATCAGGGCGAAAACACTAGTGCGGCTGTATCCAAAAGCAACGACGCAGAATTATTTGTATTAAATAGCAGTAGTAATGCGGATGTCGGTCAGTCGGAACGTTTTGAATTGTCGTCGTTATCTGCTGGCAAGGATAGTGATGATGATGATGATGACGAACCTCTGACGACTGTTGTTGGATTACTGTTGTCCCCAACGACGACACCAGCCGCGCTGGCGCTACCGGACGCTACAGATCGCATTGTTCCTTGTGCCAACATATCATGCCCTCCGTGTTTGCTTGTAGGTAGTAGTGACGGTGGTGCTGAAGTTCGTATGGGATTGCTGGCAGATCGGTTTACTGCAGCTAGTATTGCGGTAGCCAGTATCATTCTTCTCCTGGTAGTCATCTTGTGCATCTTGTGGAAGCGTGGTTATCGTGTTATTCGCGGCGGCGGCGGCGGAGGCGTCGGCAATAATCAGCAAGATGACGGTGGCGATGAGGACAATGACCGCAGTCGCGGTTGCCGCAGTGCTTCGGTGTGGTCTTGGATGAAAGGAGTCTTTAATAACAACAGGGACAACAGCAGCCGCGGCGGCGCTAACGATGATGTCAATCGTCCGGGCATGGGCCTGGGCAGACAAATTCCAGGTGGTCACGGTGGGCGTCGAGGTGGTAATCGTGGCGGAGTATCAACGAATCCTATCTACAGTCCCGGCCGTCAGCAGCACCATGGCTTCTCTCCAGTAGCCAACCTGAATTTTAGGACACCGACTCGCCACATGCCGTCCCCGCGCCCTGACGGCTATAATCCCGTGCTTGGCGATAGAGTGATGAACTTCTTCAACGACAACAGCGATCATGACCACGACTACGGCAACAACGATAACAATCGCCGTGTCGGGCAGCAGCAAGTTGCGGGAAATGATGCGCGACTTCCGGCAGAGTACCGTGCGGACGATAGGGAATCTCCCGTGTACAATTTTCCACGCTCTGATGTGTCACGAGTCATTGTTTCTGCGGAAGTGCACGGACGCAACAACGCCGATCAAGAACAGGATGAACGAGGCGGTAAGTGTAGCTAAGTAATATAATAATGCTTAGGTATTTCCGTTATTGCACATATATTGAATCTGCCTCGTAGAACACATGTACGAAAATGTTCCACTACCGGCAATACCACTACAACCATCCTCTCCTAATCGCTCTGTGAGTATTGGCAGCGCAGACGGTGAGTTTGATTGATTATTATAACGTTGCATACATTTATTTTTTCATCGCACTGATGATTACTGTATTGTAGAACTTATGAGCGGAAACTCATTCGCTCCTCCACCATTTTCTCCACGTCACAATGGCAGAAGCAGCAGCATGAGCGCGCTGGAGGAAGTTCAGGAAAGGGAGGAAGAAGAGGATGACGATGACCAGCACCGATTAGAGGCCCATCATGAAGCGCACGGGAACAATTTGGTTCTGGAGCGGGAGAATAGCGAGCATGAAGGCGGCGGCAGCGGTGGTGGGTAATTATACAATATATTTTATCTATACAAACCAACAAAATCTGGACGAGGTGCTTCTTGGCAGGACAGGAAATGGATGTGCAACTTCCTGAAGCAATGGTGGCAAGCGGGCACCTGGGAGTACTGCGTGGTCGCGGTCGCGGTCGTCCTCCTGGCGGTGGCGGTCATGGCCGTGGTTTTCGCGGTGGATTTCAGGCGAATGCGGTTTGGAATCGACGCGACGGAAATGGGAACCGTCTGGAACGTCGCTGAAGTTTAAATGTACATATTTGTTTGTATGAGATTTTTGTATATAGTTTTAGCGCCGATTTTGCTCATCGATTTCATTTCTTTTGTCCTAAATACATAAAATATACATAGTTTTACTTTGAAAATGTCATGGTTACAAATTTTTTCCTATGAGCGTTTCAACTACTAACGATTTGCTTATCTAGCAAACTAATTTGACTTTTATTATTATACAACCTGCATTTGACGTGCATCGGCAATTTGGAATTTTGTTGAATTTTTGGAACAACATTATAATGTTTACTCTCTTACGCGTGTATTACTCGTACGGTGGTTGTACAATAACAAATGCACAAGTTTTATGATGTCCACGGAGGTGTTTACTGCAGGGGCTCTGCCTACATCCATATTTTTTATATGAATGTATAGCGAGCCTCTGCAGTTCCCACCTAGTGCGGTAAAAAACGCTGGATTCAGTGAATAGTAAATGCCTTTGAGCAAATGCAACTAACAAGCGCTCCGTGACACAATTCAGGTTGAACGGTAGAATATAATTGTTAGTACCAAAATGAGTATAATCTTGGTGACCTTTTCAGCTGCTGGGAATTAATATCTGGCCAGCTGGTTTTCTCAAAGTTTATTCCGTATAATAATCGTCAGGCACAACAACAACAACAACTGCGCTTGTCACATTACAATAATTCGTAAACTCGCAGGTGCACAAGTCCATTTTAGAAGAGGTAAATTTCACTCAACAACAACGTCAGGCGGCCCGCCCTTCCTTGATTAAAGTTTCGATAACCTTTGTAGATGATTGCGCCCCAGTCCTACATCGGCACGTACTGGATTGTTCCAGTGCGAAATTTCCGGCCGGAAGTCGTGCGTGTGCTGGATTTTCCACGGGACAACTCGCCTCATGCCACGGTCCTCTCTTTCGGATATTTCCGGTCGAACTGCACGCATTATCAGGAAATGGTGGACGTGGATGGGTCGGAGGTTGATTTGGCCATGGGCACGTTGATCGATGCACACATTTCGCAAGACCTGCAGAGATCCGTTCACGAAATCATCTTTACGGATGACCAGTGTGCTGAACTTGAGGAGTTGCACGCAAAAACGTTTTTCTACGACCGAAAACGTTTCTACACGGTCGTTGAAGATGGCGAAGATGTTCTGGTAAGACAGTTCGGAAATCAATAAAACATGAGGGGTTTACTTCAAGTTTCTTTTTCGGCTGCAGAATTGTAGGTTCCCTGAAGATGCCCCAGTAAAGGATCTTATGGATGCGGTTCGGACCGTGCTGCAACCTGAAAGCGTGCGTCAGGATGACAACAGCCAGGAAGGACTTAAGGCACTTGCTGCTTTGCGCGCGGTAAACTCTCTAACCGAGCTGTCTGTCCCTGAATTCTTTTTTTAAGATTCTTGGCGTTTTGCAGCTACTGAGCAACAACAATGCCCTGCTACAACAACTTCATGATTCACTTCAAGTTCATGCCATCCCATGCCGTGACAACGAACGAAAGCAGCCCGTGAAAGCGTTCTATACTCCGTTCCAGCAACAGTTCAGTATCATTAACGTTCCTGGGGACGGGAACTGCTTCTTCCGTGCTGCATCAATGTCTCTCTTCCTGAACAACGGCTATCATGTCCACCTTCGACTAGCCGCAGTGGTGGTGTTGGTGATACACTTTCACAGCTTCCTCCCCCACCTGACGCCAATTTCGGTGCGGAAAGGTTTCGGACTCCTCGACATCATCTACCGAACAGCCGTTACCGCAGCTGAACTCCCGAAGGATAACTGGGCCACGGATATACATCTCTTAGCCGTAGCAACTGCTCTCCAACGACAAGTCTGCTCGTACCGCGGATTTGATGATTCAAAGCATCGTCCTGAGGACTGGGAGACCATTTGCCCCAACGAGGTGGGTGAACCGTCGTCTCAAAGCAGCACTTACTTGAGTGGAGCAATTAGTTAACAATTTTGCTGATGCTTTTTCAGTTGACTAAACGGATTCGTGTGGAGCGTGACTTGGGCAAGCGTCATTTGCTGTATGTTCCGCTCTATGCCAAGAGCACACGCGCGGAGGATACGGTGCGCGTGTTGTACTCCAACTATCATTATATGGGCGTTGTACCGCGCCGGGAGTTGTCCAGAGGGCACTACCTTCCTGATCCGATAAAGTGCGCGACTGGAAACTGGAATCGACGGGAACGGTTACTGCTGTCAGCGTTCCCAGCGTCGTACTCTCTCCGTCACCTTCACCGTCAACGTCTCCCGAAGTGTCGTCACCTGGAAACACCGCTCTCGCCGGCGTCAGTGCCGACGCTGAAGCTGCTGGCGTCGATGTAGTGGAGAAGAATGAGTGAGAGCGTTATTCACATTCCTTTCCGTGACTGTTGTTTAGATGATCGAGTGGATGTTTTTGTCTGGATTGTATGAACCATTATTATTGTTTTCGGGCTTATTGCTCATATTTTTTGTTATTTTTCGAGTTTGACATTGTTATACGGTCGTTTTTCAGTTTCTAGGGTTTGTTGTTATTGTTACACGGATTTTTGTTGATTTATATGATAACGAATGCGGAAAACGTGTGTTTATAACTAAGCGGACGGAAATCAAACTTATTTTTTGTGAAAAAATATGTTACTGCGATTGTTACGATGAGAAAAAAGAGCAATAATAGTAAATTCGAGAATTTCGTTTACTCACGTTGTGTCGTACCGTATCATCGTCATAACAGGCTGTGCTGGTCACATTCACGACATTCAAAATAGTCAGTAGCAAATTTTTCACCACCTCCGCCATAGCTTACACTGCGCTGCACCCAGTTTGTTCCATCAAACAGTATTCGATCACGAGCTCCTGAACAGTGCTGTGTTTTACGATCACACCGTGCACAGAAAAAAATTCTATATTCACGTTCCATTTCCATGCGTTGCATTCGATTAGCTTGCAAATGTGTGAGAAGGCTATATAGATGAATTTCCGTGCCAGTGGCATTGATCCGGTTAAAGGAGGCAATAGCATCTTTAATTTCCTCTCGAGTGTAGCCGTAGCGCATAGCTTTTCTGTGTAAGGCGCTGCCAGAGGGAGTGAAGGGCACGCTGCTGCTGGCGGGGGCGTTGCTGTCTCCGCCGTACTCGTCATCGCACCTAGTTTTGCCGACTTTATCTTTCGGTTTCGTAGTTTCCGTAGTAGTGGCAGTGCACGATTTCTCCGTATCTTTAATTTGTTGAACAGCTGTCGATGATGACGATGACTCTACAGTAGGAACCGAAGGCGACGGTGGTGGTGGTGGTGGCGATGGCGGTCGGGGGAAAGCGGTCGCATCTGTAAGTCGTGTAAGCAAGTATAGACAGGTTGGAGACCAGTGTAAATGCTGCATAAGCGGAACATCGCTCGCTTTCCATCGGTTCAGATTCACCCCGCAGTAAAAGCAGGTAACGGTGTCACCATATCCCTGATAAAAGAATCCGGCATGTGCTAACTGGGTAGGGGTTTGTTGTAACTGCTTTGACCAGGTGGTGAAAGAGTTAACTCGCGTCTCAAAATCGGAAAAGTAGGGGGCAAATCCTGGCTGTACGTCTAACTTCCTGGAAGTGTAGGTGAGCGGAAAAAAATTCTCTCGCAACTTGGCACAATCTGGATTTCGTTTCAGATGCAGTTGCAAAGGGTTCGAAACAAAGGACAAATCAAATTCGATGGCTTGACAAAATAAACAGTATACAGAATGAGTAAGATTAATCGATAAAAATCCATCAACTTTGCCAAAACGGTGGCTATCAGGCATCTGACCTTTGCCAGCATGTAGATGTAACATGCCATCGTCCTCACGCACGATGCAAGGTTCAAAGTTATTTATTTCCGCCATTTCCGCTGGTGAAAACTTTAAAACTCAAGCCTAATGTGAAGAAAGACAGTTTATATGATAACCGCGCCACAAATAATTGTCGACAATTATTTTCGGGGGAGGAACGTGGGAGTGCGCAACTAAAGAGATTGCGTGACTAGGCGGGTGTTACAGTATCTGCCAGAAATAATTGCCAACAATTACACTGAGGGGAGGAAAGTGGGAGTGTGTTATTTCAGAGGTTTACGTGACTGGGCGGGCATCAACAAAGACACCAAAAATGTTTCGGGAAATAAAAGCTGCCCTCTGCCTTTTAGAGGTCCATTAGAATGGATATGGATAGCACAGTTGTGAGTAATTTGGATATTTGCAGCAACGAGGAGGCGTTGACCAACAAGCCCGAGTATCAACACCTTGTCCAGTCTGCTCCTTTTATTATTGTGGTAAGTGTGAGTAAATGGTATATAAATGCATTAACAAGGAAACCATCTTTCAGTTTTCATGCAGTGTATATGCGTTCTAGTGAAAGAGGATGATGGCTTTTCGGGAGCATATGATGATGACATGGCAGAAACAAAAAGGCGCTACCTTATTTTTTATAATTTTTTCAATGCAGCTAACAACTATCTGTTTATTGGCGCGTGGAAATGCTTCTATCAGCAGATTTGCTAATGAAACATCGACGTTTATGGACGAGAAAGGAATATTGGTCGGACGCTTTATTAATGAAACGTTATTTCTTATTAGAAGCTCAAGAGCATACCTTATTCGTAAAAATTTTGATTTTTTCAACCTGTTAAACAGTACTCTACAACAAAACAGAAACAGGTTGCCAAGTTACCAGCTCAACATCACAGCTGTACCTTCCACTTATCAGGCAGGAGCTAGCCGCCTGGATATCATCCTCTTTCCAGTTAAACGCAATTCTAGCGACTTTGTCAATATTAAAAATGATGAAGTGATGCGCTGTACCAGTGTGAACGCAATACCACCATCTTCTGTTTCAGCACAAACCCACCTGCATCATGCTCAGTCTCAGCCTGTACAAGCCAGAAGCGCCTCGAGTGGATATGCGCCTGATAAGCCAACCACGCGGCCAGCAGGGTGATGATGGATGTTACCGGCCGACCAAATACGGGTTTTACTTCCCCATTGATTATATACCGGAGTTTTTAAATGCCGTCCGTCAATTAATGCGCCATGTAAACCAGTGGAAAGCCGCTACTCCATACCTACAAGCAAAACCTACAGCTCGTCGTTATTCCGCTGCCGCCGTCAGACCCCCACAACCCCTCTCCGTACCGGCAGCACGCAACCGCTCAGCCAAAAGTATCCAACAGCGAAAAAGAAAAAATACTACTGAATCGCAGCGCTTACCTAGAAAAAAAATTCGGGGCGCGCCGCAGGTAAAGAGTACGCAAAATACTGTACAATGCACTAGTGATGATGAAAGTGACCCTGAATTTTTCGAAGACAAAACTGACGATGCTGACGAAGATTTTGATAATAGCGAAGCAGCTGCTTTTTCGCCTGAAGATGCTTAATGTTTGTTTGTTCGCCTGTGCGCATACATGAAACAGAATAAAATGCAAGTGTGTTGTTAATCAAATTCGATATCTCCTAAAGGTCATATGAACACACACGCACACACAAACTCACACGCACACACATAAAAAGTTGAAAATCACCATATAAATTTTATGTCATTTTTACCACGGTACAGGGAGAGATATAAACAATTTCAAACTCGTAGTAGCAAAAATTCTAGAGAAAAATAAATAGTACAAATGACAACATTAAATGATCTTATGAAGATGAGTAGGATCTGCCAACGACAAATTTGATTTCCTTCCTTTCCTCGAATTGCTCTTCTTAAATTTTTTTTTCTCGCTTGCGGCAAGTTTTTTTCTCGGCTTTCGGTGGCGTTTTTGCTGACCGCGGCCGGACCGTATGCGAGCTCGGTTATCATCGAGGTGTTTCACTGGCACTAGTGCAAATTCCTCCATTCCTGAGTCCGTGATTGCATATATTCTTTGGTAACGGTCACTTTCTCCTTCTTCGAGAATGTTAGATCGAACGCGTAAAGCGTCAGGCGTGCACGACTTATAATCTAAGAAAAGGTAACCATAGTCTCTGCTTGTAGCTAATTTATAGGCTTCCATAAAACGAGCCGAGCTTCGAGGATACATTTGACGGGCAAGAATTTCAATCTGCATCATGTCTCGTGGTTGTTTCCACAATACGAGATAATGTGCATTGAGCGATATTGTTCTCATCATTGGATTTTGGAAAAAAACATTCTGTACAGTAAGTATAACAGATCGATTTAAGTGGTGCGTACCGCGAGTGAATAATGAAACAATATCTTTATTGATGTTTTGCATCTGATCGTCTAAAATAATAAGCGAAGGCTCATTTTTATTTGTAAAACTTTCTTCAGCAATATCATCGGGAATATTCTTAATAAAAACAACGTTTTTTGTATGTTTTTTAATAACTTTAAAAATAGGAGACTCATAAGAATAAATAAAGTGGATTCGCTTGGGAAATGGCGTGATCTTGCGGCGTTCTAAGAGTTGATTAATCCAATACGTTTTGCCGCCCTGGCTCTGACAGCTGCATACCAAATTAAACGGGTGGATCAGCATAGGTTCGAAGCAATAGGAAGTATACATCATAGTTATTGACTTGTATAAGATTACACCCGCACGACAGCCAGCACTTGATGAATGATGGTCACCTGCCCTCCTGCTTATATACAACATTCGTTTTAAATCAGTCTCAGCGAAATCCGAATGGCTCAGTGCGAAAGCCGCTCTTGCGGATTATTACCCGTTTATCAAACGTAAACCGTAGCATCTTCCTTTGCTCTCGTGTTTGCAGTTCCCATTTTCCTTTGATGCGAAATATTTTGTACGGATTCATGAAATAATGCATAATTTTGGTGTCTTTCACCAGCTCTGCAAGCGTTTCCGGAGTGAAGAAATCGATATTTCCCTGGTTAATTGTAATGCCTTTTGCTTTAAATGCAGTATGGCCTTTTGCGGTGCGATAGGCGTACATTTTCGGCCCTCCGCACACAAACAACACTATTTTATCATCGCCGATCTCAGACTTAAATTCTCCTAAACAATCTCCAACCGGAAGCGTGGCTAATCCAGGGCCTTCCATTGCAATAACACAGTCCGTGTCAACATAGAGCAGCCGCTCTATTCCCACACTGCTCATTCCTGCATAGAGTTCTAAGCGTGCATAGCTTGTCACAAAGCCAGCAACAATAATATTTGCTCGAAGATCTGTACTGTCAACATTGCAAATACTGGTGCTTTGAACTTGCAGGACATCATTATTAATGACGTCGATGTAGTTAACATCAAACGTGCCGGAATAAAACAGTTCGTTAAATCGCTTCATAGTTTTGACATACTCGAACTTTGGTTTGTTTTCTTTAATCGCCAATCGGCCCCATAACGTGTTCAGCATTAGTTTGGAGAGCAGT